CTGACAGGTCCAGAGCAACAGGAAGCAGAAACTGACAGGTCCAGAGCTGCAGGAAACTGAAACTGACAGGTCCAGAGCAACAGGAAGTAGAAATTAACAGGTCCAAAGCAACAGGAAGCAGAAACGGACAGTTCCAGAGCAATAGGAAGCAGAAAATATGAGAGGATAAAGTTCAGCTGAAACCAGCAAATTCCAGTTTTGTCGTTAATTCCAACAGAATTCGTGTTTTATTGTCCCTCAGCTCCACTTGATCAGCTGGTCTTAAAGGTTCTGAAGAACCACGCAGCTTTTATCACAAACCCAGAGGGTTAAATGAGGCCCGGGAGGCGTCATGCCCGGGGGTGGCGGGGGCTGGGGGGACTTCCCTGGTCCTCATAAATCTGCGCTCCGTCACATGAAAGCTGCAGGTTTCAGTTTAAAACGTGAGTTTGAGGTTCCTCTGAAGGAGAACCTGTCCTCGGCTCGTAAATTTCTGTTTATGGGCCGTGCAGCAGCTCCAGGATCAGTTTTTCTTTCCAAATGGTCCCGACTATAAACTTTAACTTTATTTTATTTTATTTTTCTCAGCAGCTGGACTCACATCCTGCTGCTCCAGGACAAACAGAATCTGCTCCTTTGACCTTCTGGTGCTTTAAAAACACGTTTTATTCAAATATAAGAGTCTGATACAAAGAATGAACATTAGAAGAACCCACTGAGCAGTTCTGGACGCAGAACCCACTGAGCAGTTCTGGACGCAGAACCCACTGAGCGGTTCTGGACGCAGAGACCCGGTCAGTTCTTCTTTATATTGGACTAAATACGATCAAAGCTCCTCAGTGGTATAACAAGAAGACAAACAAGAACCAAGTACATGTCAGCAAGTCTTTCAGCTGGAGTCCATCCAAGTCCATCCAAGTTCGGGTCTTTTGGTGCACAACCAAGGAGGGGGGGTGGGGGGGTCCCGGTGAGTCTCTGTCCCTGACTGGACGAGCGCTAAATTCACAGAAATAATACAAACTACAGAAATTCAGTACCAGCATCTAGTCTGGGCCTCCCAGACTGAGTCCAGAGATGCTCAGGAGGAGAGACAGTCCCCCTGTGGAGGGATGGACTCGGGGGGGCGGTGGTATGGACTTGGTGGTGGTGGTGGGGGGGGTCATGTCTGCAGCCGATCAGGATCCAGAAAAAAAACAAAGGTCTTCAAAATCCAAGACGTGAGACGGCTGTCCTCTCAGAGACGGTCCAGCAGCAGGGAAGGTTCCCCCAGCCCTAACCTGGATCAACCCTGCCCCCACCTCCACCACACACCCTGCCCCTCCTCAGTTGACCGTGGGCACCTGGTTCAGGCTGTACTCCTTGGCTTTGAGTCGCAGGTTGGCGATGCTGTTGGCCATGTTCATTCCCTGCGACGTGTTTGTGTTGGAGCAGGAGGGGGGGTAGGTGGCCATGGCGCTGAGAAACACAAGGGGTGGGGGGGGAGAAAGGTCAGTGAGCTGTGGAAGCATGTTCAGGAATAACATCTGACAATATGAATCCAAATTTAATTTGTAGCTTTTAGGAATTCACATCACAAATTCACACAACCATCTGGAGCAGGTAAGATAATTACGGTTCATGACGCTTCCACAGCTCACTGACCTTTCTCCCCCCCCAGCCCTAGCCTGGATCAACGCTACCCCCAACCTCCCCCCCTCCAAACGGCACAGACAGCAGAACATGAACATCCAGAACAGATGAAGACCTCAGCATGACAGAGGCCCGATTCAAAGTACTGTGGGTCAGTCTGGGGGGGTCAGAGGTCAGACTGCTGCCAGAACAAAGATGGCTCCAGGATGGAGCGTCCTGATGGCGGCTCCTCCAACTAAACCGTGAGCCACAGAAATGTTGCTGAGCGGAGCTTCATGGTTTAAAATGATGGGGGGGTGGGAAGAGGGCACTTTACAAAAGGGGGGCCAAAGGGTAACAGTTGGTTAACACGGTTTGTTTTCACCTGATCACCTTGTCTGGCTCCGCCCCTTCCTCCTGACAGACAGGTGTGCACGGCACGATGATCAAATATGAAATCTAAAAGTCGTGAAACAAAATGTTTCGGATTAAAAACGATCATTTTTATTTCGTTTGACTCAAATCCTTTTTTTTCTCAAAAACAAAATGTGCAACAAACATTTTTTTAAAATAATAAAATTATTTTTAATATTTTAGTGATTTTATGAGCCACTGTGGCTGTTTGGGCTCCTCCACAGGAGAGATTTGAATCGATTTTGTTATGAAATAAAATGTTTTTAAAATAAATAAATAAATTATAAAATGTGGCCTTTTAGTGAAACTAAAGTTTAGATAAAAATAACTGAAGTTTGACTTTAGCTGCCGATTTTAGAGTAAATTCAGTAGAAAAACATATTTATTTATTTGTTTATTCTGCATCTGTACAATATTACAATAAAACAGATTTTCTCCGAATGCTCGACTCACTTTCAGTTGATCTAGTTCTAAACTCCAGACTGTCCTGATTCCTGTCCCGTTTCTGGACCGGCCCGGTTCTGATCCAGGGATTAATTTCTCAGAGAACGCTCGTGTTTGGGGACTACTTTCAGCAGCGGATTGATACACCTTTGAGGCTTCTGTTTAGAGATCAGGTCAAAATGAGAACCCATGCGCTCTTGGTTCTGGTTTGTTCTGGGTCTGGCCCAGTGGTTGAACCTCGGGCCTGCCTCTGACCTCTGGGGGATCAGCGGAACCACGAGGAGCGGGCTCAGGTAGCAGGGCAGGAAATGAACAGAACCTGGTGGACTTAATGAAACATCAGCAGGAAACTGCTGAGATCTGAAGTTCTGCTGCAGAAAATGATTAAAGATCCACTTCAGCTCGGTTCTGGTTCTTGCTCCTCCTCTGGGCCCGGTCTCTGTGGCTTCAGAACAGAACCGGTCCAAAACAGTTTCACTGCAGACGTTTAAAAATGACTAGAATTACATTTAAACTGTAGGAGGGTGATGACATGTCTGCCTGCTTGTTAGCAAAATATCTCATGACGTGATTAACCCAGTTCAAGATGGCCGCCACAGCTAATCAGCACTGGGCAGCAGGTTATGTTTAGTGGTCAGATCATGGTTAGCTTGGGGTTAGAACATAAAATATTTGCTATAACGACGCGGTGACGCAGCGTCACGACCAGAACACGCCGCCGTCTGAACTTTTGTTGTCGAACCACCGTCCTCTTGTTTTAAAATCCACTTCCTGTTTTAATTTGTATTTTCACGCCAAGTTTCAGTGACGAGCTGCATTCCACTCGTTGAGTTCGGTGGTTTGGGTTCAGGATCTGCTCCGAATTTTATCCCAAAATAACTTGATGTGGAGTTTCGCTTCGCCCCCCGCTCCGACTGTCCGAGTCCCGCCTGCATCAAAATGGGGTCTGACTCTGGATCAGACTGGGGTCTGACTCTGGATCAAACTGGGGTCCGGCTCTGGATCAAACTGGGGTCTGACTCTGGATCAAACTGGGTTCTGTCTCTGGATCAAACTGGGGTCTGACTCTGGATCAAACTGGGGTTTGACTCTGGATCAGACTGGGGTCTGACTCTGGATCAAACTGGGGTCTGACTCTAGATCAAACTGGGGTTTGACTCTGGATCAAACTGGGATCTGACTCTGGATCAAATTGGGGTCTGACTCTGGATAAAACTGGGGTCTGACTCTGGATCAGACTGGGGTCTGACTCTGGTTCAAACTGGGGTCTGACTCTGGATCAGACTGGGGTCTGACTCTGGATCTGACTGGGGTCTGACTCTGGATCAAACTGGGTCTGACTCTGGATCAGACTGGGGTCTGACTCTGGATCAGACTGGGATCTGACTCTGGATCAAACTGGGGTCTGATTCTGGATCAGACTGGGATCTGACTCTGGATCAAACTGGGGTCTGACTCTGGATCAGACTGGGGTCTGATTCTGGATCAGACTGGGGTCTGACTCTGGATCAGACTGGGGTCTGTCTCTGGATCTGACTGGGTCTGACTCTGGATCAAACTGGGGTTTGACTCTGGATCAAACTGGGGTCTGTCTCTGGATCTGACTGGGTCTGTCTCTGGATCAAACTGGGGTTTGACTCTGGATCAAATTGGGGTCTGACTCTGGATCAGACTGGGGTCTGACTCTGGATCAGACT